GCCCAATCCCCCCCCCCCCCTCCCCCTTCTGCGACATCGTCAGCATTATTGCCGACCCGTGGACGTCGAAGGCCGGCTGGTCTGTCGCCTTCGCAAGTGCTGACCCGCGACCACTTGAAACACATTGCCGCCATCGCCCCATCTGTAGGATCGACTCAGGAGCTAGCCAAGTTGATTGACATGGGGTACTCCCCCACGCTAAGCGCGTACGTGTTGCGGTACTACCAGCACAACCTCCAAGGCGCGATCCAGTGGCTCGTAAACGACCAAAACTACGACGACATTCGCCATATCGGCCTGCAGTCGTCCACGGTGGACCTACTTCTACCATCGCCCCACTCGATGACATCACATTATCGCCTGAACGCCCAAGTGAAGGAGACGCTACTGCTGTCGTGCTCGACGTCTGCCGACATGCTGAGTGCCCTTCGCCAAGTGCCGCGGGAGAGCTTTGTGCCGCGACTGTACGCCAAAGAAGTCGAGGACGACCACGCGATTGCCCATCCTTTGGGGTACACGCTGCCGTCCATGTACCAGTGCCTGCAAGTGCTCGAAGCGTTGAATTTGGAACCAGGTCTGACTGCCATAGAATATTATATATATATATTATATATCGATCTGTAGGCGTTCGAGTGTTGGACATTGGCACTGGGTCAGGCTACTTTGTCACGCTGTTGGCGACGCTCATGGGGAACAAGGCTACGATTTCATCGTGGGAACAAGACGCCGATCGACTGGCGTATGCGTATATTTACATGGCCCAAAGCGTCCAGGACGGACACAACATCGTTTACCCCAACTTTGTAGAGTCCATTCGATTCGAGGTACGACAATCATATTGTACACAGTCTGAAGTGTAAACGTATTCAAATGGATATTGATCTTTTTTACTTGTTGTCATCTTGTGAGGGTAGAAGTGAGGTATATTGATCATGTGAATTATGCGGGCTTGGTATATTGTGCTTTCGAGTGAAATTTCATTGTGTTGTGGTTTCTCGTTCGAATTTAAATCGATTTGATTGGCTACCTCAGATGAGCTTAAAATTATTAGCCAATCAAAACCCATTTCTCAATGAAATTCAACCAATCAGATCGATTGCGGATCGGTTTGGTTGGCGCGATTTTCAATTACACCCCCTCCCCAGATTTGTATCAAATCGACAATATATGTATATATTTGGCTGTTGAATTGGGCATTTGTTTCTATTTGAATATATATTGGTAGGTATTTAATCCTATATGTATATGATGATGAAGATTAAGTAAATCATGTGGGTTTGATATATATATATACATGGTTCGTAGGACATTTGTTTCTATTTAATTGTATCGGTGGATATCTAAGCCCGTGTATATGTGTGAAATGATCAAGCTTTTGTGAATCATGCGGTCTTGTTGTATACAGTAATATATATATATATATATATGTTTGGACGTTGGAGTTGTTTGATTCTATTGGTGGATACCTAAGCCCTGATGTATATGTGTGTGATTAAATGATCAGGTGTGCAATGCGTTCTTAACCTCCCAATGCGATGACGCCGTGTTTGATCGTGTGCACGTGGGCGCGAGTTGTCCGCGGGAGAGCGTGGACTTGTTGCTGCAGTATGTGGCATTGCATGGCATTCTCGTGGTGCCCATCGACGGGTCACTGTATCGCATCCACAAGAACCAACCCACCAACGACTGGCTGCAGTTGCCCGTGGAACCACTGGGCGCGTACTCTATCGAAAGCCTCACTCCACCGACGCTGGACGTGCTGGCGTCGCAACTCGGCCAAGACCACACCCGTTCGTTCGGACTGCATGGGTTTGAAGAACGAACGTATGTGCACAAGCCGCGGGTGCTGGTCATGGACGAACCAGATCCGACGGAAACGCAACCGCCTCGGATGGCGGCCAACATGCTGTTTCAAGTCGACTTAGCCGACACGACGTCGTCGTGCCCGCAGTTGGTCCAGCAGGGCAGGAGCCACACGGGGCTTGTGGTCACGAGGGTGGGGCCCATGCCCGTGCAGTTGAAGGAGCTGTCGATGGGGGTCAAGATCAGCGACGCGTCGTTGAGAGTACGTTTGGTTTACTCTTTTGATATTGTTGCTCTTTGTATGACACAGCGCCGTATCCTTGTATATATATATATATATATATATATATATATCGATTGGTCTATTGTTGTCGGGGTATGGATTTGTATATATATACGTATACATAATATAGACATGGTGTCGAATTGTTCTTTTTTTAAATTCATTCGTCGATGTATACAATCATAAATAAACATGCTGTCGTCTATTGCTTTTTTATTTTTTAAATTTCATCCATCGATCAATATATACGATTCTAATACAACGCATCCATCCATCGTATTTCTATATATATATATATATATGTATACATTGTACAATGCTAATGCAACACTGCTGTCCATCCATGGTTTTATTATATATATATATATATATATATATACTTCTATATGGTAGGTATCGAACCGAGGGAGCTTTGGTACGGCGTGTGCCAACGTGTGTGTTCGCGGAGGCGGCGTCTGGTTTTACGAAGTGCGCATTGGGACATCCAAGGTGATTCAGATTGGGTGGATTTTGCCTGGCTTTGACCCGAATCCCGAGTCTGGATTGGGCGTGGGCGACGACCAGTTTTCGTATGCGTACGATGGCCGTCGAAAGAAGAAATGGCACCACGGCATTTCAGACGACTACTGGAAGCAATCATGCAAGGCGGGCGACGTCGTGGGCTGTCTATTGGACTTGGACCAAGGGTACTTACTGTGTTCTTTGCATTACTTTCTCGAGCCATTGACCCAGTTGCAATCATGTTTATAAATTTATCATGTGGAAGTTTGTACTACCTAACCTATACAATGATATATATTGTATATATATATACATGGTCAGGTTTTGCCCACTGAAAAAAGGACCGAATCTATCGGTGCATATCTTTAGTAGACATACATACATTCACTCACACCTGAACATTGTGATTTAAATTGTCTTTTGGAGTACCGAGTTGTCTTTGACATATTCGATTCAGTTGGCGGCTCCATCATATATCTTGAATTATCCATATTTGTGTTATAATATATTGATATATGGGTTTTTGTCTATAGAAACATGTCGTTCATGCTAAATGGAACGTCCCTGGGGGTGGCGTACTCGGACCTCCGTCGTGAGTTTCCCGTCGGGGGGTACAGCCCCGCGTGTTCGATGGACGGAGGCGAGTCGGTCTGGTTCAACTTTGGCGTCAAGGCGTTTTTGTACCCGCCGTCGCATCCGTTTTGCCCCCTCGCCGAGTTTGCGTACCTCCCCCTCCTGGACCTGCCGTCGTCACCCGACTCGACTCTGTTTGTGGCCAAACACATCCACGACGATGCCGTGGCCGCCACCCCACTCACTGACCCTACCACGACCATCCTCCTTGGCCGAAACAAGATTCAGCCCCTCGACTCGAATTTGAGCTGGTTTTACCCACGACAAGGCCGACATACAAGACACATGTTGAGCCAGGACCTCCAGCATGACGTGCGCATTGCGCTGGCGAGGTCGTTCCTGGCATCGCATACGTCCAAGATGGCTCCAGCAGACCTCATCGCGTACCTTTCCGTGGCGAGTGAACACCCCCAAGTGGTCGACTCGTTGAACGTGACTGCGCAAGATATTCCATGGCTGGTGGACACGATGCAGCGGCAGCTCGAGACGGCGGCGGACGCAATGGTTATCGAAGAGTCGAGGCATCCCATGAGCCATCGCCTGGTACGAACTTGTGAAATGATATATATATATAGAACTTGATAGTGCTTTTTACCCAAATTTGGAGTCATAGCATTTGACCCGATTAATACTTTGAGGTCTTTCGTATATATCAGGTTTGGTCCAAAGAGGAAGGATTGAGCTGAATCAGTACTTTCAATGGGCATAAATCCAGCAGAACGTGATTTAATTGGCTTGGGCGGTTCGTTAATTCATTCTCTTCAGACATTTGAATGTGTTGGCGGCTCCAGTTTCAATTGGACGATATATATATATATATTCTTGATTTGGTATGAATGACCCCCTTGAATCCACTCATGCCGACCAAATCCCCTATCACGAATCGCTCCCATTGGTCCCCGTGAAATTCCTGCTCGCTGATTGGCTAAAATATTCTTATTTTGCTGCTTATGCTACGTGGCGGCAAGATGTGCGAATCGAGCTGAAAAGGAAAATTTGAAAAAGTTTATCTTATGGTGATTGTAATCACACTGATTTAGGACTCACACTAATTCGGTGTGGATGATGATGGTATTTCTGCAACCTGATTGGCTAAATCCTTCTGTACATTTGGTCGATTCATCATGCATTCTCCATATCGCTCCAGTTTAGATTCAACAATATATATATATATATATATATATATATATGTGTGTTTGACATATATCTGTTGTGTAGATGTCACTGACGCCGACGGTAATTGTTGCGTTAAAGACGTTGCGCACCAACTTGCTGGATGTGGACACGGCTATGGAAAAAGGAAATGCCAAAGGCGCGATGGTGCACCTCCAGCGAGCCACGGAAACCCTCGTGAGTCGCACAGAGAGGGAACCTGGGGACCACTTTCAACGGTGCCGCGCCCAGCTTGAAGCTACGTACCAGCGTCTGCGCAGTGCCGCCTCGATATCCAACGACTTGATCACGTTGCAGCAGCCCCAGCATCGCCTTCCCATACTCGACAAAGTAGCTCTCCTCAAGCAAGCGCTAGAGTTGTTCGAGTCGCTCGTGTCATTCCCATCCCAAGTGCCCGTGGATGCTGTCCATGGAAAATATGTTGGTATGTATGGGTCTATGTTATTGCTGTGAATGAATGTACACAAGACTCATCGGCACAAGGATATATTTAGCCAATCAGATTGCAGGAAACAACCACCATGGTCAACGTCAAATTAGTGTGTGACTTCAATTAGTGTGATTACCACAGGACAATTTTTTACGTACAAAACTCAGTACATCGCAAAAGTAGACCAAATTTTGGGTAAAAGGACAATATCACAATGCTTTGTTTATTCGTTCGATCAATCAAGTAGGTTTATATTATTTTGGTTTATGTTTGATTTATTTACAGAGTTGTACAAGCTGGTGTGTGTCTGTTGATTCTGTAAATCGTGTTGTTTCGACTATATATAGTCGCACTCTTGTTTTTTATCTCAATATATATACATATATATTGATACACAATTATAAACGAGGATTGTATGTATTGATGATGTTTTAATATGATTAGGACTGTCGGAAGCCCAGTCGCTGCGGATCGAGTTTGATCCTCGAACTGTGAGAACGAATTGGAAGCTGTTATTTTTCAAAGATGCTGCGTGCACCCAGCGGTGGCCGTACGTGCTCAGTCGCGACGGATTTGCGCCGTTCATCGTCCCAGCCAGCCATTTTTACTACACGTTCCAGCCAGATACGACCAAAACACACTTTGTGCCAGAGTGGGGCTACGCGTTTCGCGTGACGCCATATATGTTTCACCCCCAGTACGTCCATCTCAGATTGATCATGATACACTATATCGCTTGTGTACGTATCTATTGAAATCTCTGAATGTGTGTGGATATGTTGGAGTGGTCTGATTGGTTGAATATCAACGTGTCCTTTCTGTAAGATCCAATCAAATATACCCACTCTAAATTGAATGAACCAATAGCGTTGTTGATTCGTGATTGGGTCTGGAAATTTGTACTGAATTCACAGTACAATTGTGTGTTCTACTCTAAATCTGTTTTCGCCGGCGGTTGGTTGAAACGAACTGCCCAACTATCGCCAGATCTGCGACATATGATTTATATTCAAGTTGAAGAGGTATTCTCTGTGTTCATTCGTTTTATAGCCAATCGTATTGCAATGTTTATTCTTTTTTTAGCCACTCAAAAACCTTACATTGTTGTGGGGGATCTCAACAATTCCCCAAACTTAGTTATGGGAACAGCCCAAGAATACGTACTGTACCTGTATATGCGTATCCAAACACTAACTTTACCCCACGCCATCACTTGGTATATATCTACCAGTGCACTGTGGAGGGATCTAAACTAGCAACTGTTGTGGCATGCCAAAACCTTTCAAAATGTATATGTTTTAACCTCGCGATTGGATTGCAGATTTGCGCGACCGACGTGGTCGTTGTGGACTGCCGTGCAGACCCACAAGTCGTTGCAAGACATGCTCATCACGACAGACGGCGCTGGTTCAACGTGGCTGCAGAGCATTCTCCGATACATTCGAACGCCGGCCGCACCCGAAAAGGTCCGCGTGTTGTCGACGCTAGTGCTGTGCTTGCATCGCAACCGCACCCGGCTCCCGGCCGCCCTTCAGCCGCACTTGGCGTCATTTCTCTGGTTTGTACAGCCCGAGCTCAACTTTTTGTACCGCAAGAGCGTCAAGTGGCGCCTACATTCCAACCCGTACTTTCAAACGCTGTTGCAAGCAGTGACCAGTGTCTCGTCTGTAACCGAGCATCGCATTCAACGGTGTGTATGTATTGGGCTTTATATATATGTATATAACTTTGTTGGGGAAAGTAGAGTCGGCGCCCATGTATTTGGGTACCACGCCGAGATGCACCGATGGCACCAGGAACTGATTGAAACCGTCAAAGGGCTAGACGTGATGCTCCCTGCCACGTGGCAGCCCATCATTGCCAAGCAATTCAATCCGCTCACCATGCTCAAGCAACTGTTCAAGCAATTCGAAGCGTCTATCAAGACAGATGTCCAGCGATGGCACAAGAACCGCCGGGAGCTGTGGATTCGCCAAGTCGATCAAGCGTACCACCCAGCCTTGTTGTCGCAGTGTCTGTGTGTGTTTAACGAAACGCTGCTTCCAGGTACATACTTTGAGTCTCTCTCTCGATGTATATATATATATATGCAAGAAGAAGCCACGACGTTTGTTGCTTGATCTGGGATATTTATATATAGATATAATATATACATGTGTATATATTGTGTTGTCAAGGGTGGCTAGGTTTATATATAATTCTATCGACTAGCTCAAGGATGTATGTCTGTCCAATTCTCTCTCGATATATATGTGTGTATTCATTGCTATCAAAGGATTTTAGTATGGTTCTCTATGGTTCTACGATTTGCTAGTTGTATGTATGTATATCCATCCACTTATGAGCTTGAGGATCTACTTGTTCCATGTATAATATATATATTTACCTTGTGACAATATGTATATATTTATTTTTTCCCTTGTTTCAGTAATGTACATCCGTTCGTGTAGTGAGCATATATATATAACTAGTTTTTTTCTATATATGTACAGTATGCGTAGCGTCGAGGGAATGCGGATGGGCGACCGAGCGCAACAAGTGGCTGCGGCATGTGCAGGCCGCGTGCACCGTGGGGGACGTGGCGATGCAGCTAATGGTCCTAGCGGGGTTCATCGACGTGGAATCGCATACATCCAGTTGGGGCAGCCAGTCGTATGATTGGCGCAAAGCAGTGATGGGACTGACCAAGACAGATCTGGCCGAGGATGCACAGCTGCACGTGAGTGGCCAGTGGACCGACGGGCACGTGGTCGCCGACAACGACTTGTCTGGTAGAAAACGATATATCATTTTATAAGGGTATGATGACGTGACATCCCTAGCAGCCAGCGTTGCCATCGACCGCATGTTTGAAGACTCGACCAAGCTGTTCCGTGTCCGCCAGGCTGAAAACGTCCACGTGATTGCCGCGTTCGAATACAAGACGTCGCTTATCCGGAAGATCAACGTCCGGTTACGCAAAACGTACTCGAACAACAGCACGCCGGTGACGGCAGGGATGGTATTTGTGTTCCCAGTGTACCCCACGCCCGAAGATATGCTCAAGGTGGGCCACTACGACTACTTTACGAGCGACAAGTACCAGTCTTACGTGCTCAATATGCGCCGCCGCGGACTGCTGCCGTTGCCGGTATGTATATATATATATTTATTTATTTTTGAACAGGTGGAAGGGATGGGATTTGATTGGTCTGATATGTACTTTATGTTCCTATTCGGGGTTGGTTTATATAGTAGTAGGTTTATATAGTAACGTCATTAAAATTGGCATCCAGTACGGGCGGGATGCTGTCGTTGTATAGAGAGATGTCACGTGCTTTGTGTTATGAAATGTACTCAAAATGTCCTGATATCTTATATAAACTAAGAGTTAAAGGTGCGTTTATGAGTGCATGGCATTCATTCTCTATCGTCAGTCTATCATATTACTCTTAGTGTAGGATAATTGAATATATATATATTTATATATTTTTGTATGCAGGGTGACCCCGTGGCATATTTTGACGTGACGTCGCCGCACTATTGCCAAGGCAACGCTGTGACTGTCGTACCTGACTTTGCCGTGTTGGGGCAGTATGTTGTGGTCAAGCTATTGCGGTGCTACAATATTCGAGTGATGGAGGACTTGGCGGACGTGATCAAGCGGCAGGAAGACCACTCGTCCGCGTACTTGAACGTCAACTCGGCCTACCTGTGGTGTTATAAGCCCCACGAAGAGGTACTACGTAGTACTGCATATATATTCAACACTTGTTTGGTGGTAGTGGCTGCTGTACCCGAGCAGCATCGAGTACATGATCGAAAGCAAGTTTCAAGCGTACTGCCAGGGTGAGATGTCGTGCCATGGCGAGTTTGTCGTGGGTGGGGAAGACGTCGTGCTCGACTACCAGCATATGGTGCAGTACACCCAAACGGCTTTGTTTGCGTCTCCCACTACGTGCCGCATCAAGCGCGTGCAAGTGACGATGGACATGAAGATCAAACTCACGGCGCATCAGTGCATGGAAGTAGAGCACATGGCGTTCTTTGGCTTGCAGGAAATGGTACCACCATATATATATATATATAGTGAATATCATTCGTGTATATATTTTATATTGTATTGGTGTTTTTCAGCCATTAGTAGTAGTATGTATGTATATAGGTGGAGTTTACTTTGTTATTCACATTGGTTTTCTTTGTGCACTGATGAATCATACGTTTACTTCATCCAATAATGGGCTTGTTTCGGTAAGATATACTATACTATTATATATATACTTATTTATATCAATGAGGTATTTGAAAGTACGTTTATTTTTCATTGAATATTTAGACGTGTATTTATTTCTACTCTACAACTCGGAAGTTTAGGCAGTAGTAGGTTTGTTCTGATTGCACGGATGATGCATAATGTGTATCTAAAGTGTTTGTTTCATATATATATAATGTGTATATATTGAGTATTTGTTTTGTATGGGGCATGTAGGCAGCCGAAGAAGCGTACAACACTTGGACGCACACGTTTCACTCGCTGGCCATGGCCAGGCAGCCCCACGATGCATTCCAGACGTCCGGTACCCAACTGTATCGCGTGCTGAGTGAAAAGTCTCCTGTGCACAGCTTCCCCAGCTTGAGTGCGTCCATTTCCACATATGTTTTGTACGGGGAGATCGTGGCCATCACTTGTCGCCACGGGCGATGGGGCTGTTTGGGGCATGCTGAGGCGTGGTGTCTAATCGACTCGCATCAGCCGTCCTTTTTTCCCATCAGTCAGGCCCGGGCGGCAGCCCAAGGCACAGTGCCGTGGCTCCCAGGTATATCGTTAAAAGCATTTGGAATACATTTGTAATACTCATGATAATAAGTTTGTATGATAATTGCCGTTTTGGCCAATATAAATGGTTTTTTGTGTGAATCCGTCGATACATCGATCGATCGTTTGGACTGTGAATTTTGTACGTAAACATCACGCTAATATTATACGGTACATACACGAATTCGATGTGGAATGAATGTTGCAAAGAGAGAAAATCATATTCTGATTGGCCACTTGTTTTTTGTGGCGGGTTTTGATTGGTCGATCATCCATTGTATTCAGTCGATATATAGACCACTCCCCCCACTAGTCTACTTTTGAATGCTGACATTATATATATACATATTTAGACCAACCGGTGCATTGCGTCGCGCCCAATGGAGAAGCGTATTCGGGGGTGTTTCAGATCGGTGCATCACGCCAAGTAGACGAAGAATTGGTGCACATGGTCAACCGATTGCGGGAAACCAGCGGCAGATGCGTGACCAACCTCATGGTCGCCGATATTTACGCGTCGCTCCACGGCAAACACAAGGACTACCCGTACCTGAGCATCTTTCCCATCCCGGCCATCACGGGGCGGCTGGACGTGCTGCGGGCAATCAACATGCGACTGGCGCAGTGTCTCATGTTTGTTGGTATTGGACTGCCGTCGGCACAACCTGATTGGTTGGGCGGGATCGTGCTCCAAGCCAAGTCGTGTCTATTTTTAGAAACGAAAATGCACGTGTGGAAGGTATTTTTATGCATCCCGTCAACCACACAACACCAACCCTCTCTCTCTATATATATATTTATTGATACTATAGTTACGATACATATGCATTTTGTTTGGATAGAAAATTTGGAGCGAGTCGTACAGCGTGGAGCGGTCGTCGGAAGTGGTGAGTATCAACCGCCACTTGGCTTTCAAAGCCCGCGAGTCGTTGCGGGAGACGGCGCATGTGCTGCAACCGGACTTGTGTGTCTACTACCCCACTGTATTTGTCCAATTGTGGCGCGAATTGCACTGCACGCCGCCGGGACTGCTTCGACGGAGCGACGGTAAGTCGTGGTTTACCAAGTTCAAGGGCGAGCCTTCCATCGACGACGGCGGGTTGTACAGAGAGACCACGGCCACCACGGTACGATTAGAACGCTCATGGCCGAGAAATGGAGTTTTGTGTGTGATTTGTGCGGAGTATATATATATATATATATATATAATGGATTTGGTACGAATGTTCGGACATCGTTGAATCGAATATCATCACAGACCCAACCAAACCAATATCACAAGAACGAATTGCTCTGATTGGTCAATCTAAACATGCTTGTCGCTGATTGGGTGCATGAAGTGTTTTACTTCACTTTGTGCACTTTGTGCGGTATTGAGATTTGTGCTCGGTTTACAATAAATCGCGCAGAATGGTGAAATTTGTTGCAAATTAACAATACACCAACTTTCCCCTCTGGTGATTGGTTGAACAATCGCCAGACCTGCGACGACCTCTCTTACAAAGCAAAGTGTAACAGGTGTCTTTATCAATGTGTGAATCCTATAGTGACCTTTGTTCTTTTGAGCCAATCAAAATCCTCCTTTGCTCGAGTTGGCGATCTCCAAAGCGGTCGATTTGACTGACAAGTACATACATATTGTAGTGCTACGAACTCAACAACGGCCTGCTGCCGCTGTTCCTTCCATGCTCCAACGGCAAGCACGGCCAAGGACTGAATCAAAATACGCTGGTCCCCAACACCAGCTGCACCCAGTGGCATGAATGCTGCGAATGGCTGCATTTTGTAGGCGTGTTGATGGGGATCGCTACGCAGAATCTCGAGGTAGTCTTATATATATATTTATCCCCCTTTTGGACGTTTGTGCCAATGAACTAAATTCATCGATATATTTATGTTTCTTTGTACTGCATTCTGTACGATTCACACGAATTCGATACTGATGTTGGTAATAATATGGATTTCCTGCACGACCTGATTGACTGTATACTTCTGCCGACCCTTCCAGCTTAGACTAAACACAAACCATATATATATATTTCTTTCGGCATTTATATATACATGTGTGCTTGTATAGGAAGTATTTCCCATCCAACTCGCGGCGCCCATATGGAAGCTCCTGGTGTCGGAAATATTGACCCCTTCCGACTTTGCCCAGTTTGACGTGGCAACCGGCCAGACGCTGCGGTACCTCCGCCTCACAGCATTTGATTCCGACGCCATGTTTGCATCCATCTTCCCCGACCAGTCATTTACCTGTATCAACGAACAAGACCAACTCGTGGAGCTCATTCCGAACGGAGCGAATGTGCGCGTGACCCTCGCGAACCGGTTCGAGTACGCCGACGCATTGGAGTCGTATCGGCTGCACCAGTTTGACGAGGCCGTGGCGTGTATTCGCAACGGACTCGCGTCGATTGTGCAAGTGGATTTGCTGCCCATGTTTACATGGGCAGAGTTGGAGGTATGTACAACGTGGGGTTCTTCTAATAATATAAAATGTCAAGTGTATGCTGTTGATTGGTTGGGATGATTTGTTCGTTGGTTGAAATATATATTTTTATATTTACTATTTTTGGATGATTATGGTCGGGTATGTTGTAGTTACTCGTGTGTGGACGGCCGACGCTCAACTTGGCACTGCTGCGCAAGAAGACCGAGTACTCGCCAGACATGGACATGCAAGACACGCTCGTCGAACGGTTTTGGCGGACCTTAGCTGGGTTCACGTCGGATGAGCAACAGTTGTTGTACGTATCGTATCGTATCTACTACCCTTGCTTGCAATGATATACATGTTTTATTATATATATTTTGAATATATATCTATCTTTTTTTCAATACATGTCTTAATATGTTTTCGGGTGTGTGTGGCAGTTTGCAATTTGTGTGGGGTCGATCGCGGCTGCCATTCAGCGAAGTGGACTTTGGATCGTACACGTTCAAGCTGGTGCGTCACATGAGTCCGTCAAACCCGGACGAGTACTTGCCAGTTGCCCACACATGCTTCTTTCAGGTATAATATATAAATATATATATATATATATAAAATCATGGTTTGGCGATAAATATGTTGCAAATGATAGCTGGAATTGCCAAACTATTCGTCGGACGCGATCATGCGCACCAAGCTGCTATACGCGATGAATCATTGCACGTCGATCGTAGACGAAGAGCAAGCCGCCCACCAACTGGAGATTGCGTTGTGGGATTCCTAAATTATATATATATATATATTTGTGTCTACCATCTACTGCAAACAACGATATGGGTTTTGGGGACAGGGGATAATTTTTCCTATGTGAATAATAATATATTTACGATTAGTCTCGTTGGGGTTTGATCCGTACACGCACCATCATTCACATCCACGTGACGATGATTCGTCAGAATCCTCAAATGACCAACATTCCTATATTCCAACTTTTCAAGGTGAGAATATAGGAATGTTAGTCATTTGAGGATTCTGGCAGATTCAATTTGCATGCATCAGTGAACAATCAGTTGAGTTATGACCAAGTGGTTGGGCTCATTGCCAGTTGCCGTATCCGAGTCAGGGTTCTCGTACATGTTGACGCCGTGGACCCGAGTGATGGCTCCAGCGCTGGCGAGGCATGCCAACGACGAGTTGGTCGCGAGGTATCTCACGCCGCAGTTTCCACATCCATACACGATGGACCATGCGTTTGGATACATTTCCTATGCTACGACCACGACCAGCGAAGACATTCTTGCGATTGTGCGTGTGAACCCAGCAACTCTCGAGCAGGAAGCCATTGGCAGCATTGGCATGATCTACTCCAACGACGACGACACTGCCAAGTTCGGGTACTGGTTGGGCCAAGCTCATTGGGGAAAAGGCGTCGCGTCTGCTGCGGTGCACTCGTTTTTGACGGGGGTAATAAGCAACGACAATGACCGGAGGGGCGTGAAGCTCGTGGAAGCCTCAGTGTACGCTCCAAACGCAGCGTCACAGCGTGTCTTAGAGAAGAATGGATTTCAAGTGCTTCGAGTTGATCCCAAGCTACCGTATCGTGACGGAGGTGTCATGGAAGCTAAGATCCTTGTGAAAAGATTGGGCGATGGTTTAGTAAAACTGCCATGACAATACATATGTCAGTGAAAGTGGAGTGTAGTCTACTGTACAGTAAGTAGTCAACACATTAACATCTAATAGTCCTCTGTACACTAGCTGTTTTGCCATATACAATATGGAAACGCTGAAACCGCTATAATGGTCGTCAAACGGCAATCTGAAGGGGCACCGTTACTACTCTCCGGATACATCCGTAAAATCAGGGTAAACTCAACTTGTCGAGCGTGAACTCCATGGTACAATAGTGTGCTCATGTCCATATCGATGCTTGTACGGGTGGCTCACATGCGTATTTAGAGCTACGTGGGTGGCGTATTGAACCGACTACGCCATGGACAGGGCACATATACTTTTCCAGGGGGCTACTACAAGTATACGGGCGACTGGGCGTTGGGCAAGATGCACGGGCACGGCATTTTCTTCCTGGGGGACGGCAGCACGTACGAAGGCACATTCGTCCACGGGGAGATGCAGGGCATGGGGTTGCGTCGATGGCCGGACGGGACGACGTACAGCGGCGAGTTTTGTCGAGGCGAAATGCACGGCGAAGGTACTTCCTCAGCGCCGTCTCATGTTTTGCTTGAGGGTGTATTTGTACATTATGTATAGGCACGTTCATCGCGTCCAGCGGAAAAAGGTACGAAGGCTCGTGGCGCGACAATCAGCACCATGGCAAGTCCAAGTCGTCTCAGTCATTGTGTTTATATGGATGATGCCGTCAGATTTAACGGAGCGGTATATTAGGGTACGGAGAGTTGACAGAGCCAGACCAGTCGTTGTACGAAGGGCACTTTGACCAGCACAAACCTCATGGCATTGGCCGCAAAACGTATATATCGATTGTTGGTGTCCGATCGTTTATATATGTGGGTGGTTGTAGGTGGCCGGACAAGAGCACGTACGAGGGCGAGTGGCGACATGGGAAATGTCATGGTCATGGTAGGTTGGTTCGGGTTGCTATCATATTCAAGCCCAAACGCTCATGGGAGAAACTGTGGTATATCTAGGACGATGGGTAGATCTTGATGGCAAGACATCGTATGAAGGCGACTGGGTGGACGGCAGTCGGCATGGAGTCGGCAAAGGCGTGTGGCCCACTGGACTTGTGTACGATGGGTCGTGGGCATGCAATAGTCGCGAAAGTACGGGCTACTACTCTATCCTTTGTTTTGATCATTGCATTCATCACTTTCTGGATAAAAATGGAGTTTGTCGCTCGACGAGTTGGTGGGTTAACATGGTTCGACTCTGAAATCGTTTTGTAGAAGTGCCCACGTGTTTGGTTGTGACGAGGATTGGTCCCGATGGGTTGCCGGATGCAACCCCCCTCGTGTTTCGAGATGCGGTGGTTCCGGAAGAGACCAACGGGGTTGGCGATACGATGCCAGGTAGCTCCCCCGTCGTCGTCGTCATCGCTCCCCCCATCAAGCTCCTGCCCCAGTTTCAAGTGGCGTGTTGCGTGGACAAAGCAACCACGAGCAGCAATAACCCTTCCCCTGAAGTGAGGACACGTCTCCTTGTAGTAAGTGTGCTCACAAACGTACTCCTTGTATTTCATGTGCAGGGTTCAACAAGTTCCGACGTCGTCGTCGGACCGACTGTGGTGGTGGAAGAATCGAGACATGGCATTCGCATGAGTTTGTTTCAGGGAAAATCGCCCGTCGATGCCGCTCGGGAAGCTGCCGCCGCTGCCGCCGCCTTTGATGCCGACTCGAAAGACAAGCGCAAGAAAAGCACGGTGGTCGAAGCGGTCCACGGAGAGAGCGCCACGTCAGCTGCACCCGTCCCCCTTCTCATGGCGTTTGAAGACCCCACCACGCAAGCCAACGTGGTGGAAATGATCGTGTGGACGTTGAACGGGGTTGCCACTGTACCGAGCATCCAGTTGCCCATGGAAGCAGCCACCACCTGTGGCGAGTATTTTCTGCAATTTGACAGCATCATCGACACACAGGGCATGCCGTCGGCTTATTTTGGCTTCACGATCGTACGGGGGGACGCTGACCTGTCTTTTGGGGCTGCGGGGGACAAGGGCAAGAAGGACGCGCTCAAGAAGAAATAACGCACTTCGTTATTGTGTTTTATAGTCTTGCATTTGGAATTAATAGTGGCCAGCGCCAAGTGGATGTCTGCAAACCAGCAACTATTAACTCTTTATTTGCTTTATATATGGGTATTGACGACAAAACGTCGTCGCACAAACCAATGTAGCTACAATTGCAGCTCGGCGGGCTGCACCTTTGCCGCCAGGAGGCGTCTGTCGACCGTGGCGGGCATGTCGAGTTGGAAAAACTCTGTCACATTTCGCTCCAGCCGACTGTGTTGCAGCGCATTTTTCAGCGCAAAGTACACCGAATTGACGAGTTGGAACGGGGGCTCGCCCACCGCCTTGGAGCTCATGACCCCGCGGGGGTTGTCGGACTTGTCGAGCAGCGTCACGTTGAGAACCTCGGGGATGTCCTTGTGCGATGGCACCTTGTACTCCCATGTCCCGCTCGTAAGCAAGCGGCCGGCGGCGTCGTACTCGACGCTCTCTTGGAAGAAAAGCCCCAAAGCCATCACAAACGCGCCCTCGATCTGCCCAATATCGATCACCGGATTGAACGACTTGCCGCAGTCGTACATGATGTCGGTGCGCAACACGTTGACTTCGCCCGTTAATATGTCCACTTCCACCTGTGAAAAATATAATATATATTGATATAAATATATACTAATAGTATCATCATCTCATGTTTAATGTCTCGTAGGGATAATACATGTGTGTGTTGGCAGGAGACAGAAAAGCGCGCGACATATATATATATATATACTATGTCGTATGATTTTAGCATATCTATAGATCCATCCATATCGTCCATCGTTGATATATATATATATATATTTCGCATCAGGGACTATAACATATATATGTATACGATACATATACACGTTCTGGCATGTTATTGATACCTCAGAGCACGCGGCGGCGTACACAAAATAGTCAAACACTTGAAGAGGGGGGGGCACGACGTTGGGCTGTTCACTTGCAAACAACTGGACGCCGTCGGCATGCGCAGCAGCGACCACTTGACCCCACGTCGCATCCTTTGGCAGTTTGGTTCGTACGGAACTCAGTCGAGTGATGAGCGTCTGGCACGCCGCCCTATCAAGTCGTGTGAGTTCTTCAAACAAGAAGTTCTTCAAACAAGGGGTTCTAATACAAGGGAGGACGTACTGGACAGATCGGGCAATGGACTCGGATGTGCTCGAGCCCCCCGTGGCGTCGCTGTTTGGAATCAGCCCCGTGGACGTCGGCTGCAGTTTGATCTTTGCCAGCGGAATGCCCAGCATAAACGCAGCCATCTGCGCCGCCTTGGTGTCAATACCCTACGTATATATATATACATTATATATATATATATATATATATATATATATATTGGTTTCGTTTTATTAAATGTTGGGGGTTAATTCGATAGACAGATAGATGCGACTTGTTTAATATGAACGGGCTAAGGTAGTGAGTGATGTTGCAGGATTGTCGTCGTACCTGTCCGATCTCACACCCACCTACGTCCAAACAAACTTTCAGGTTTTGACTTCAAAACTTTTCAAAGATGCCAAAAATATATTTATATATATATAAAAAGAAACATGAAAGGGACTCGTGCAATATCAATATACCCATATCGTCCTTTGAATAGCAGCAGCAATGGAATACTCGAATGTGTTTACCGTGGGTCACGAGCACCGTGCCGTCGCCGTGGAAGATGGACACGGACGCGCCGTACTTTAAGCCCGAGATGGCAATGCCGTACTTGACAGGCGTGACCGCGAGCCCCCGCTTTTTCCACTTGTTTTGGCTGTTAAAGTACACGGCCGCCTCCTTGCGCCGCGCCACGTCCGCCGACGCATGCAACCCCTGCCAAATGCGATCCAACGTTACATTTTTCAGCTCTTGGCCGTACGGGGTCTTGTGGTGGTCTATAGCAGTAGTCCCCATTTCAATGAGTTTCATATATGAGTTTCATATATATATATATGAATGAATGAATCAATCCTATAGCAGTAGTCCCCATATCAATATATATATATATATTGATATATATATATATATATATATATGGCTGAATCAATCCAAATATTATACGTATTGCAAAACGAATCCGTTTTGAAAAAAATAATTTAAAAGAAAATGCAATCCATGATTTCGTCATGGGTTGGTTTGTAGTAATACTAGTTGTAGTAGTAGTACTACTAGTAGGTGTAGTATACCTCGCACGAAATTCCGAGTTTGGACCCACTCGAGGGGCAATTGCAATGTGTGGGCGATGTGTTCGACGACCATTTCCATCAGCATGACCGAGCTGGGGACGCCTGGGGCCCGTACAGACGTACATGTTGGCGTATTGCTCAAGTACATGAATCCTCGAGACCTATCACAAATATATATATATCCACTTATATATTCCGCTTTCGACAATAATATATATATATCGAACAAAGTCCACAGTACCGAAACGAAGACACGTGGTACGCTCCGTCAGACCACAAGATGGCCATGAGACACTCGCCATTGTTGTCCCTATATGTATATAATCCATCAAATGAATATAGATATATATTAATGGATGGAATCATATATATATATATATTTATACCCTCCGGAATACGCGCCCATGGCAAAATGAAACTGCAAATCCAACGCCAAAAGGCGTCCGTCGTCGTCAAAGCCGACGTGGTACTCGCCCACAAGAGCATTTCGCCCCGCCACATTGCGAAAGTCCGTGTTGCGGTCGTTCACGACTTGAACCGCCTAAGTAAATATATATATATATATATCAGAAGGTTTTTGCTTTTCAGTTAAATTCTATCCAATTTGAGGGGTTCTAACATTCAATTCCACGAACAAAGCTCATTATAGACACACATTCTGGTTTTTTCCCCACACGCTAGCGATTCCAAGTTGGATTTGTGGGTAGTCGAATAGCGCTAGCTTAAACGCAGACAATCGACTAGCCAATGAGAATCTTTCAATCCAACATTCCAACCAATCAGTGGTAGTTCATGCTTTGGCCCATTTGTTTCAGTCAAACGTTATTTTATAGGCAATATTTGTCTATAGATTTGATGGTATTAAATTGTGCTTCAAGTGGATTTCTCCAACAACTGCCCTGTCCAACATAGGGGGATGAAAAGGACAATATCACAACTCCATACATTGATATCAAAACAGGCCAAACGACCTATAATTGTCACCCTTTGCTATAATACGCACACACATGATACACTATTTTCAGACTATTTTCCGGTGGATACAACACAATAAGTCCGGACTACCACAAATGTCTCTTATATATAATCTATATAACATTAGTAAAAGGAAAAAAGTTAAAAAAAACCTTCGGGTTAAAATAGAAAATGACGCTTAATTTTAGTATATTTGAGATAAAACTAATGACAATTAAATATATGAGTATAAAAATATATAAAATATATCTATAAATCATAAAACTTTAATTATTTTCGATACAATGAATTTAGAACACCACAATGTCGAGACACGTACAACGGCGTGCTTGTGGGCAGCGATGGCGGCGGCCGTGGCGTTGACGTTACAGCGCGTGAGTTTCCCGCCAAAACCGCCGCCCGCGCGCTTCATTTTGACGTCCACGGCATGCAGAGACACGCCGAGGACACCCGCGACCGCCTCCTGCACCCCCGTCGGATTCTGCGTAGACGTCTCCACGCGGTAGCATCGGTCTTCGTCTGGGTACACGGTCGAGGCTACACAAATATATATATATCCATCGATATGGTGCTATAGATTTATATAATATCATCGATATTGTCCAACACGTCAAGCGATGCAAGTACATCGTATTTATTAATATGCATGTATATATTCATCGATATTGTAAATATATATATATCGAAATCGTTCAACAAGATATGCAAGATTGCACGACAATTATTTTTCCAATATCATCTGCATCAATTGCATACTACGAACCACCATCCCCATACACACATTCCAAACAATCCACTCAGCAAGACAAAATACAAAAAAAAGTGAAAAAAGAATACTATTTATTTTTTTCCCGAGAAACATATATATATATATACTAGTATATACCTTGCGGCTCCATGTAAAAATGGCGTTGCGACCCAAACGACACTGTGCCTTGTAGTTGCCTGGGGGCAGTAGCAATCTTTTCGTCAATGTGGTCGTCGTTTCCAGGCATGGGAATTGGGTTTGGCTGGTCGGGGGTCGATGGCACGAGGGTACCCGCCGCTCTGGCCATGGCCACGGTCGTGATGGGCGCGTCAGTCGTCCAAAATGGATCGTCTTGTAGGGGTGTGTACTCTGCCACGACCAGCCCCGCCGCGTGCTGCGCCACGGACGCCGACGTGGCGAGTACGAGCCCCAGGGCCATCCCCACATACAGCACCTGGCCTTGCAGAGGCACAAACAGGGGCTCGAGTCCGTCGCCGATGGCGTTGGTACCGGGGATGTCGGCGGCGGTGACCACATCGACGACGCCGGCGACTTGGCGGGCGCGGAGTGTGTCGAGCTGAACGAGATTGGCCAACGCTTGGGTTGAGAAGACTAGCGCGCCGTACAACATGCCTGGAATCGGAGGAACGTCCGCCACGTATTTGGCCTCGCCCGTGGCCAGCAGCTATACAAAAGAACTGTACATCAGAGGGAATTATCGTTGTTCGAAGCTAGAAATATGTGACCTTAGAGCTGAGTTTGGGGATGCCGAGCCCCACTGGAGCCGTGGAATCGGCGTCTGGAAGCACCGAAGGAATCACTTGGCGGCCACTCGACAGGTGACGCGGCAGTTCGAATTTGCCAGATCGCAAACGTGATGATGACAATGTTGGCACCACCTCCAGCATAGTCTTGTACCAACACGACTGCACCAGCGCCCTATGTATATATATTATAGACACATATATACATTTATATTACACATATCATATATAATATATATATATATATACATTTATAATATATATATATATATTATATATATATACATTTATATTATACATATCATATATATATATACTTCGAAGTATTATATACACGTCAATCTAAACAGAGTGTGGAGTTGACTCACATCACGAAGACGGCGAAACATACAAAATAGAATTCAAAAAGCAAATAGGTAAGAATATTATAAAAATTACCGCCGCACTTTTGTAATATGATATATATATAACAAAGTTGACGAGCAAGTTGAAGAGGGTGTCGATATTGCAATATTTTAGCCAATCAGAATGTAACCTTTACTCTTTTTAGCCAATCATACGGTTTGTCTCGAGTTGTTGGCGATTTTATAAGGATATATCCGTGTCATTCAAAAGCGCTTATTGGAGTAGATATAAAAATCAACACAAATCACATTTAAAATAGCAGCCTACCATTTGAACGGGTCCAGAGGCTGCTGCTGCGATGGCATGTCGGCGTGGAGGGCGCCCAAAGAGGCGTCCAACGTGAGGGGGTCGGTCACAAGTTGATTGATCAGCGCTTTCTCCGTCAAATGGCATCGAATCACTTGGGTGCCGATGCCGTTGAGCACGATCCGGGCTTGGGTGCACACCTGCTGGGCATTCCGGACGATCATCATGGCCGCATTCACATGCGCGTGCGAGTTTTCTTTGCGCTGGGCGACTTTGTGGCACTTGAACGTTCGAAGCGGCGACATCGGGTACAAGGGCAGCTCGAGTGACACGAGTAGCGGATTCTGGGTCACTGGAATCGCCAAGAACGCGTCGATCGACATGGCACGCGAGTCGGACGCGACCAACACTGTCACAGACGCGCCGTATCCCCACAGTCCCGTGACCAGATCCGACGGAAACGACGGAAATGCGCGCGCGAGAGATAGATTCCCCGCCCACGTGGCTGCATTCCGCACTTGGTGGTTTGCCACCTTGGAGATGTGGTGCGCAAGGGTCTCGAGGTACGGATTGTCGCTGGCAGTCTGGCGCAACGCCGCCAGCAACGCCGTGAGCGACACAGCCGCCCCCACACTCAAACAATTCGTGTCGGACACTGGAACGATCGCAGTGAGCGCGGGAATGCTCGTAATGTCCACAAGCACACTCGACAAGACCGGCCGATTGTATGGGGCTGTCTGGTTGAAGTACTTGGACACGCCGCGGGACGTGAGCCCGCCCACAACCATGACGGACTCGTCCTTGTGTTTGGCTCGCACGGCTGATAACTGCTCCAACGTGAGCACTTTATACCACCAAACTACTGCTTCAGATGCTTGAGGTTGGTGAAAACACAGCGGAATGGGAACATAGGACGCGATGAACGACGGCACTTCCGGATCGTGCACGGCTACAACGTTCACAAATATATATATGATTCGTTTTCATATGTAATGGTTTAAAAAAACATCTATTTTTATATCCACTATAGGGAAGTAGGTACAGGTAGTAGTAGTAGTACGTACTACAAGTAGGTCCTAAGATGGTTATATATATATATATAATGGCATGTGGAAATGATATGAGGCAAGAATCAACATGATGCAGAAGAAACATTATATAATTGGCGCTGCGAAATCACAATTTAACAAGTACACGAATGAAATATTTTTTTAAATTGTATATTCCATGGTCAACAATGGTGATATGGCGCTAGTGTGTTCATCCAATGATTCATCGTATTAAAATATATATTTCCAAAAGTAGTCTTCCAACAAATATATATATCCATTAAAAATACTATTTTTTCTTCAATGTAAAACTCAAACAACAGCATTCACACAAAGCCAATATATAGATAGATGTAGCCATAAGAAGTAGTTCACCCACAACATCACCTATTCCACGTCACAATAGTGTTCCTGTCATAAATATACAATATGAATATGTATCTATATATATATATATATATATATATATATATATAGATACATATTCCACAATCTCGTACCTCGATCGTACAGCGGTGGGATACACAAGTCCTCGACTTCAACAGCATCGTGGTGATGGTGCTGATGGGGACAGGCGTCGCAGGAGGTCGCGCACTGTTTGAGCAATCGCGTTGCCTCTGACTTGTCACATCGAACTCGATCGACAAACTCAAACTCGGGCTCGTCCGCATCGACGAAGGGAACGTCATCGTAGGATGATTCGTACTCGAGCTGTGGAGCAGGTCCGTCGATCCCAAACGAATGCATGGCCTTGAGGATTGGACGGTACCCCGTGCACCGACACAAGTTGCCGTCAAAGTGGTTTTCGATCGTGTCCTTCGTCAACGAAGACGAGTCCGATGTGTGCAGAAGCTCGTACATGTTCATGACCCAACCCGGAGTGCAATACCCACACTGCATGCTGTAGTTGTCGACCATCTTGGATTGGATCGGGTGCAACCGGTGCTTGGTGCTGCCGACCCCTTCGACCGTGAGCACCGCCATGCCGTCAATGGACGCTAGGGGGATCAAGCATGCGTTCACAGATCGATGGACAAGCGGAGACGACGGCGTCACCCGATGACACAACACGACAGTGCACGCACCGCAACCCCCTTCCCCGCACGCGAGTTTCGTTCCCGTGAGACCGGCATGGTCGCGGATGTAGTCGATCAGTCGAAGGTCATTGAAGCGGGGGAGCGTGTTCCCGTCCACGACTACCTTGCGTCCATTCAGGGCAAACGTGAGGTGGTGCGCCCACTCCGCCGGCATCGGATCATCGTTCTTCTTCATGATCGGAATGTCAGCTTCCTTGAAGAAATGGCAATCTTGACAAGTGGTCGGAAGATTGGTGAGTCATTTAGCCAATATGGTGAGTTCTTGCGATATATTTTCCTTTCTTTGACCATTGGTATATTTTGACCAGCCAATCCAAAGCGACAGTTCCTTCATACTTGATTTTGATTGGCTCCTTGGGTCTTTTGAGTTGAAGGCCAATCAGTACGCAGTGCCGCCGCATTGTGTCGCCAAGAAGAACGAACCTTCATGAACGAAGTCAACAAGTTCATCGTCGAGTCGCGCGAGTCATGCGTCAAGCAAGCGATCGTGTCGTCCGTGATGGGAGCCAGCATGGGCGTCGGCTTGGGCGTGTTTCTAGGAACGTTCGAAGGAGCGCACGGCGAGCTTGTCGGCAACACGATGCGCGAGCAGCTGTACCATGGCTTCCGCAAATCGTTCGTTGCTGGCTACGACCGAAGCATCTACTTCTCCAAGGTATCTATCTCCCCCTTCGTTATATTCCTTAGTATGTCATGATATCATGGATGGGTAGCAATTCATGGTGGTCGGAGCGATCTACTCGGGGATTGAATGCACGATCGAGCGGGAACGGGCAGTGCATGACGTGTACAACACCGTGTTGGCCGGGGGAACGTCTGGTGCGATCCTCAGTGGCTGGGCAGCCAAGCAACTTCCTGCGAAACGTACGTCGTGACTCTGTCCTTACTATACTAACGAGTCGAGTTGCTGTAGAATTCTTGACGCACACAGCCAAGGGGGCCGCCACATTTGCTGCGTTTGCAGCCGTGATGGAATTCTGTTTAGACCGATTTCGAGATCAATAAGACGAAAGAATATCTGTGTGTCGTTTAGATCTATTTTGATTGTGTATGGCTGCTGGCTATATACGATTTTACTGCTAACGTTACATGGACAACGGCAGCACGAGCCACGACTCGTCCACAGGCGGCACATCGAACGGAACCGCGTCGCCCTGTCCAAACAAAACAGTCCTTAAGTACACATATCAAACACAGGTATATATAGACATACGTGGACGGGCGGGGGCAACGGGTGGGCTGCCATGTGCGTCAAGCATCGCTGGATCGTACGCTGAATTGACGTGACTTGTTGCACCTATGAGAACACAATACTAGTATCACAGAATGTCCATCGCCAATTGTTAAGAAGAATGCTTGTGGTCGGCAATGTGTGTTGATAAGTTGGCCTCCAATTGTTAACACATCATCGCCAAATGTTAATACACACATACATGCGAATGTTCATACATTGTATAGTGGATTCGGTACAAATGTCCACACCCCGTCGAATCACGTTAATCGACGGTATTGGCTACTCCAATTTCGAGTGGATATATTTGATTGGCTCTTACCGAAAGGACAAGTATATATTCAACCAATCAAAACTCCAGAGTGATTCCATATATTTTGCAAGTTTATAACAAGTATATATTCAACCAATCAAAACTCCAGAGTGATTCCATATGGATTAGACAAACCACGCGAATTTTGCAAGTAATAACAAGTATATATTATTCAACCAATCCATATGGATTATACAAATCACGGGTATTTTGCAAGTTTATATAGCGAATTCCCAATACATCCTCGCGAATCATACATTATATATTCGCCAATATGTGCATACATCGCAAGACAGCATCACCACTAGGAAATAAATAGTATACCATCTTCAATACTGAAAAATATTATAATATCAAATGAAGATATCCTAACTATATTGGTCGTACATGTCCAAAGTACAGCAGCACTTGCATGACGCGACGGACGTGGCCGAGGTCGTCGGCGGACGGGACGGCGGCCACCAGACTCTGGAGCACGTAAGCGTCTTCTTCTGCACTGCCTTGCTGGATCTTGCACCGACGAAACCGCCGCGGCATCTTCTTCTTCATCGTCGACGACGGACTAGTACTACTAGTAGTACTAGCACGGCCATGATTGTACGAGCTCGTGATGGCCAACGACGTCACAGACAAACTCCCAAACTTGATATCGCGGTTGCTGTTGTGACTTCCGACGCTGCTCACGCTGCTGCTCTGACTGAGCGCACTCGCAGCAGCACTCGACGCCGAGTCCTACACATACATATTTCAATCGTAACACCCTCGATCTTTACATCAAGATCAAATTTTGACAAAAGGACATCAAAAATAGGCGAAATTGGGCAAAATAGGCAGTGAATTTGGCAGAAAACCGAGAAAGTAACACTCGTCAGTACCTTGGCGCCGTCGTCGTCGTCGGCGGCGGCCTTGCCATCAATCCCATGCAGTCGAAAGAGCCGAATTTGGTCGCGCAAGGTGGTTAATCGCGTCCAATGCGTTTGGAAGGACTCTAATTTGGCTTCATATTCTTCTTCCACGTCCACCGCAGCTTGCTCCACCTAATAAAAAGGTTATATATATATAAAGGAATCCCATTCCTTTCTTCAAAACACACACGAACATGACACACAGGGTCAAATATAATATATAATATGCGGGGTCATTGTGTAGCCTCCAAATATATATATATATATATATATATATATATAT